CTTCTTGAACATATCTCCCCGGGCAAGGAAAACAACAGCAAAAATGAGCAAGTGGGACTACATTAAGCTGAAAAGCTTCTGTACAGCGAAAGACACCATCAATAGAACAAAAAGGAACCCTACAGTATGGGAGAATATATTTGAAAATGACAGATCTGATAAAGGCTTGACGTCCAGAATATATAAAGAGCTCACACGCCTCAACAAACAAAAAACAAATAACCCAATTAAAAAATGGGCAGAGGAACTGAACAGACAGTTCTCCAAAAAAGAAATACAGATGGCCAAGAGACACATGAAAAGATGCTCCACATCGCTAATTATCAGAGAAATGCAAATTAAAACTACAATGAGGTATCACCTCACACCAGTAAGGATAGCTGCCATCCAAAAGACAAACAACAACAAATGTTGGCGAGGCTGTGGAGAAAGGGGAACCCTCCTACACTGCTGGTGGGAATGTAAATTAGTTCAACCATTGTGGAAAGCAGTATGGAGGTGCATCAAAATGCTCAAAACAGACCTACCATTTGACCCAGGAATTCCACTCCTAGGAATTTACCCTAAGAACGCAGCAATCAAGTTTGAGAAAGACAGATGCACTCCTATGTTTATCGCAGCACTATTTACAATAGCCAAGAATTGGAAGCAACCTAAATGTCCATCTGTAGATGAATGGATAAAGAAGATGTGGTACATATACACAATGGAATACTACTCAGCCATAAGAAGTGGAAAAATCCAACCATTTGCAGCAACATGGATGGAGCTGGAGAGTATTATGCTCAGTGAAATAAGCCAAGCGGAGAAAGAGAAATACCAAATGATTTCACTCATCTGAGGAGTATAGGAACAAAGGAAAAACTGAAGGAACAAAACAGCAGCAGAATTACAGAACCCAAAAATGGACTAACAGGTACCAAAGGGAAAGGAACTGGGGAGGATGGGTGGGCAGGGAGGGATAAGGGGGGGGAAGAAGAAGGGGGGTATTAAGATTAGCATGCATGGGGGGGAGGGAGAAAGGGGAGGGTGGGCTGCACAACACAGAGAGGACAAGTAGTGACTCTACAACATTTTGCTAAGCTGATGGACAGTAACCGTAATGTGGTTGTTAGGGGGGACCTGATATAGGGGAGAGCATAGTAAACATAGTATTCTTCAGGTAAGTGTAGATTAAAAATTTAAAAAAAAAAAAAAAAAAAAAAAGAAAGAAAAGGGGGATTACTCCTTAACAGGATAAAACTATTGGTAAATCAAAGATCAACGCATGCTTTAAATATCCTTAATGTTGATCACTTAAAGGGTGTCAGATGATCAGCTATGGAGGTACTCTTTTCTGATAATATTCCTTTCTCTTAATTAAAAAAAAAAAAAAAAAAAGTTACTGTGTGCTGACCTCCAATGAGTTCTGCACAGTGGTATAGAGGGCATGTCAAAGTGTGGGCAAAGGGTCTGTTTGTTTCTACGCAGAAGATCAAGGCCTAGCTTGGATACCCAGAAAATGAACTAAGATACGATATGAGGAGGAGCTTCCGGCATCAGCACTCTCTGGAGGACTCGTGCCGGGGGATGATCATCAAAAAGCCTCCACAGGGATCCGGACGATGCTGCGGTTGTGGCTGCATCCAGCCCACCGTCTCCTGGACTTGCCATAAGAAGGAGGAGGGAGATGTCTAGGCTGGCATGTGCATACAGTGAGACAACGAATTTGACTGGATCTGTACTGTTGGAACTCAACCAGGAGTTGGGAGGGGTGCAAGTTGTAGCACCCCAAAATCTCATGACTATAGACTATCTATGGTTAAAAGAACATATGGGATGTGAACAGATCCCAGAAATGGGCTGCTTTAATTTGTCTGATGGTTCAAGTACAGTTGGAAAATATCCATCATATCATAGATAAATTTTCACAAATGCCTAGGGTGCCTAAATGGTTTTCTTGGCTTCACTGGAGATGGCTGGTAATTATAGATTTGCTTTGTTTATGTCACCGTATTCCTATTATGTTAATATGTGTGTGCAAATTAGTTAGTAGTTTAAAACCTATACATACTTAAGGTACTATACAAGAAGATATGTCAAAGAAATAATCAATCCTCCCAAGTTTCCTTCATATGCTACATCTATAGCTTTTCTTCTTCCTTCCTAATTACAAACCTTAAATAGAATTCGTGCCTCATATCGAATTTACCGAGTATCATAATTCCTCCAGGTGGTAAAGATACCTCGAGACAAGTGCTGGGCATAGAAGCCACAGGGCATAAATCTGCAAAGAAGTAAAAAGCTAACCTTTGCAAACAATATGGCTTCTCTCTCACTTACCAACTTTACATTTCCCTGTATGGCCCCGGAAGATGACTGGTTAGCCAGAGACGGGTAAGATTCCTCAAGGGAGGAACAACCTAAGACAGGCACAGTCGCAGGGGGGCCATCAGGTGAGAATTTGGGGATCAACAGAGGTGAGGCTCAGAACCTCACCCCCCCTGCTTTGAGAGAAATCTTCTGCATCCGTGGATGTCTTGCTGCCCTTGTCTAGCCTGGATTAATACTTAGTCCATAGGCACACACCTGATCATCTGATCATCTACATTTGCCTTCTTACAGCACTAAACTATGTTTTCTACCTTTATCTTGCATCTACCTACCACTTCAGCATTTTATTAAAAATAAAAATAATAATAATAATAGGAGAAATGTGGGATCAACATATAAATCAAGTACAAAAATCAAATGAATATTCATATTTGACCTGATGGTTTATAGGTCATATTGCATGATCAAAACCGAAAGTTTCTGTGATGAATGCCCTTGTACTGTTCACCATGTAAGAATTTATTCACTATGTAAGAATTCGTTCACCATGTAAGAACTTGTTCGTTATGCTTCAGAAGATTGGAGACTGACGAGAATTAGGCTTGAGATGGATTAATGATTGTACATTGAGCGTTGACCCCCCTATACTGAATTTTATTGTTGTTAACAACCATTTGATCAATAAATATGAGAGATGCCCTCTCAAAAAAATAAAATAAAATAAAATAAAATAAAATAAAACCACAATGAGATATCACCTCAGTAAGGATCCAGTAAGGATCGCCACCATCCAAGACAAACAACAACAAATGCTGGCGAGGATGTGGAGAAAGGGGAACCCTCCCTACACTGCTGGTGGGAATGTAAGTTAGTTCAACCATTGTGGAAAGCAGTACGGAAGTTCCTCAAAAAACTCAAAATAGAAATACCGTTTGACCCAGGAATTGCACTCCTAGGAATTTACCCTAAGAATGCAGCAGCCCAGTTTGAAAAAGACATATACACCCCTATGTTTATTGCAACACTATTTACAATAGCCAAGGTTGGAAGCAACCTAAGTGTCCATCAGTAGACGAATGGATAAAGAGGAGGTGGTACATATACGCAATGGAATATTATTCAGCCATAAGAAGAAAACAAGTCCTACCATTTGCAGCCATATGGATGGAGCTAGAGGGTATTATGCTCAGTGACATAAGCCAGGTGGAGAAAGACAAGTACCAAATGATTTGCACTCATCTGTGAAGTATAAGAACAAAACAAAAACGGAGGGAACAAAACAGCAGCAGACTCACAGAACCCAAGAATGAACTAACAGTTACCAATGGGAAAGGGACTGGGGAGGAGGGGTGGGAAGGGATGGATACGGGAGGGGAAAAAAGAAAGGGGGCCTTATGATTAGCATGTATAATGTGGGCGGGGCACAGGGAGGGCTGTGCAACACAGAGAAGACAAGTAGTGATTCTACAGCATCTTACTACGCTGATGGACAATGACTGTAATGGGGTTTGTGCGGGGAACTTGGGGATGGGGGGAGTCTAGTAAACATAATGTTCCTCATGTAATTGTAGATTAATGATACCAAAATTTAAAAAAAGAAGTATAAAAAAGAAAGAGAGAACATTCAAAAGAGTAATGCGGAGAAAAAGAAGTTTCCTTTCCACCCCTAGTCTCCTATTTCTGTGAACTCTTTCAAGGATATCCTCATACACACACACCACACATATACACTCGTAAACATATATTCTTATTTTCAGTAACATTGTCATTCACATACCACACAACGTTCTGCCCCCATTTTTGTTTTACGTAATGATGCACCCTGGAGACTGTTTCCCATCAGGGCATAGAAGGTTGCCTCACCCTCTCATGGATGTAAGATAAGGACTTAGCCAGTCCCCTCCTGGTGGCTTCTAGGATGTTCCAGTCTTTTCTATTAAATCAGGGCTGCAGTGAGTATCCTGCCACACATGCCATTCTACACATATGCAAATCTATTCAGAGTCCAAATGTCTAGAGGTGGTGTCACCCTCCGTGGTGACAGATTGGGCCTCCTCATCTCCATGGGTGCTCTGATGAGCGTTCTCCTGCTCTTCCCCACAGCTCCGTCAACAGTATGCTACCAAACTTTCTGAACTTTACTTACCAAAAGGTGAAAAATGGTATCTCACTATAATTTAAATGTGCTCTTATTTAAGTGCTCTTATGAGTGAGGCTTAACAGTTTTTAACACTGAAAGAGAAAATCTCTATTTCCCTTTCAGTAGTTCACATTGTCTACCCACTTTGTTGAGCTGTAGAAGTTAGATTTTGAGGCTAGAGAAAATAAAACTGGTTGTAGTTCTCTCTTCCAAGCTCATCTGAGGTCCCTAGGAGAAAATAAAATCACAGGGTGCATGGGGCAGGGTGCATGGGACCTAAAAGTGGCTGTGCCAGGACATGGGACAGTGAACACACCAAAGCTCTCCTACGGCTCAGTGTCCACTGGTGCTGACCATGAACCTGGCCTGTGACATCTATCTCATATCTTACTATAGATAGCCTTGCTTTTTATTTTAATAAACCCTCTTCTTTAACACACTTCCTACTGTCTCTAAATTCTTATGAATCTACCTAATAAACCTGTGATCAAAACTGGATGACAAGTTTCCTGATTTACATGATATATGCTCGGCTCCTGCCTCTTACCTGGAGCTCCTCTGGGTTTGAGTGTGCCCAGAAGGGGGCCATGGTGCACCTGATCTTCCCCTCAGGGTCCATTTCAATGTCCCACCACGAGAGAACCACCTGAGCTCGTCCAGATGCCAGAGGTTCAAACTTCTTGCTATGGCAGGCTGCTGAGCTACTGACTTGCTTACTGAAGTCCACACTGTGAAAGAACATTCAGGAACTTAAGCAAACTTTTAAAGCTTACACGCTCCATCTTCATGCTTTTATGGTGACCTTACCAGCCATCAGACTTATCTGTAACAGACTCCTGCCTTCAGAGGGAGGTGACATCAGGTTTCCTTCCCACTCAAAAAGGACTTCCAAAGACCCCTTTCTATCAAATGTCTTAAAGTCTCACCACCCTGGTTGGCTTCCTGGTACCTGAGCATAGGCAGCACATCACTGAGGACAGTGAAGTCACAGGGCGACACCTGGTTCAGCTGAATGTCACAGACGGACGGCGCGCCAGGGCACCTCTCCAGTTCAACGGGAGGAATGATGACCTGCTCTCCGTGGCTGGTCTGGACACGGATGGGAAACAGCTTATTCCACGACCACATCCTTCTGGATTCCACCAGCTGCGCATAGATGGTTGCTCTGTGAGGCACCGCCTCACAATTTTCCTAAGTTTTTATTGAAAAAAATACAAAAGAAAACAATAAACCAGGTATGCTGACCCACAATAATTCCCATCAGTCAAAAGAGGTACATTCCTTAATAAGAGTCCACGTCAGTGACAGCTAACACCTAACCACCATGAGGACAATTTTTTGGATGGTTCTAGGATAACTCTTTTTGCCCCAATGCCCTTGGGAAAGAAAAAAAAAAGGAACTACATTTAAAAAAGAACACACATTATACCAAAAATGACTTATGTCAGGTAAGTTCCCAGGGACCTGACACTCTTAAATAATTCAAAAATAAACCTTAATTGCATGCTGATTGACTCCCACACCAGCTTTGAAGGAGTCCAAGCCTCCTGCTCAGCAGTAACTGTGGCACTCAGCTCAGAGCCTCCCTTCAGTGCAGCTCTCCCCAGCACCTCCCTGTTGCACAAGTGCCACCCTCAACTGACCGGACCTCTCGGCCTCACCAGGCACTCCCAAGCCCTCTCCTCACTCGGCTTTGGTTGCGGACCCTCATCTAGTTTCCTTCCTACCTCATTCATCCATCCAACACCCTCTACACATCAGGCGCAAGTGGACAAGCCATAAAAAGGACACTCCCAGCTGCTGCTGAACGGAAATGACAAGTGCAGGGTTTCTCTGCCTCAGCACTAGTGACCTCTTGGGCAAATGATCCTGTCTTATAGGGGGGCTCCTCTGTGCTTCGCAACACCCCTGGCCTCTACCCACAAGGTGACAGTGGCACCCGCACCTCAGCTGTGACATCAAGAACGTCTCCAGACACGGCTCTGGTTAAGCACTGCTCTCCCCCGCTGCCCCTTTCACCGCTGTTTCCCCTGCCATCCTCACAGAGGGGCCTCCCTAGAGACCTGGTCTGGACCACCTTTTTCTCCTTCTCCCTCCCCATAATCTCCTCTGAGGGACTTCACTCCACGTTCCTTTACCAAATCCCATGTATCTAAAGGCCTCTTGGTCCTCTCTACTTGGCTGACACTCAGCTCAAACTCTCTTGCCTAAACGGAGCAGATCACCTACACCCCTTCCCCACCTTCCCGGCACCCCTCCTCCTGCACTCCCATTCAACAGGGAGCACCACCTCCCCAGTCCAGTCACCCAAACCCCCTTGGCATCACCTCAGTGCCTCCTCATCTAAGTAATCACCAAGTCTCTGACTACCTTCCCCTCCCTAAGTCCACCTCTCGGGGCCCATTTCTATGGGCTTAACTGAGGTCCACGTCAACCCCAGCACCTGGATGACTCCACAACCACCTTCTAACCAGTCTTCCTGCCTTTGGTCCTACATCCTAACTGCCCTCCACATGCCTGCCTGGTAAATCTAACATCAATCCCCTGCTTAAAACCGTTCTGTGGTGTCCTACTGCCTTCTGGAGCATGGGCCTTTTTTCTCTGTCTAGCCCTGTCCAGCCCTCCAGTCTCATCTCTAAGCCCCCCTCCCACACTACCCATAATCCAAACAACTTGTAGGGCCTGGGAGCCACTGCACCAACTCATCTTCATGTCTTTGTGCCTGCTGATCTCCTCTGCCACAAATCCCCTGTCTGCCAGGCCAACACCTGATCATCCTTTAAGACTGACACAGCTCAAGCTTCATCTTCCTTGACACTCCCCACTTCCCCCTGCCAGAGTGGGCAGGATGTCACCCTCTAACTACCGTCAGAAAGGACACACCTCTAGCTGTACTGTGAAGACCTGCTCACCTACCTGCCTACCTAGGGGCTCACTTTCATATTCTTGGTGCCCAAAAAAGGGCTAGCAGAATGAAGGCACTCAATAAACGTATCTTCTGAGATCAATCCTTGGGTCACTTCACCACCACAGGGACTATCTGTCACACATGCCAGCATCCCAGTTCCATGCCCTCCAATAAGGCCAGATGAGGGACAGGGCAATGGAAGATTTTTGTGTCCAGCCACAACCCCCTCAAGCTCAGACCCAAGGTGGGCAGATGGGGGTAGTGATTAGAGTGGACAATAGACACCTGGCTGCTACAGGCCAACTGCCCACCTTCCTTCTTAATTATTAGCTAAATTAGAAAAAGACAAATCAGGCAACATTAACAAAATCGTAAATATTTATCCGTGTTCTCTATTTCAGGGATTCATCGAGTTGATGGTTTTAAGGTGGAGAAACAGAAATAATCACTACCAAAGTGACAAGAAAAGCATTTTCCATTTGGGAGACAGACATCTCACAGTGTGGGATCTGCAGGGCAACCACCGCCATGCGCTGAATGTGTGAGTGATGTGGACTCTGGCCCCAACTGCCCTGGAAGGAGCCCCTTCCTCATGCTGAGGACTCCAAGAACCCCAAAGAGGGTCCCAGGCTGGGACTCTCTGGACAGTGCCCACAGGGGCAGTGCCAGCAGAGGCAGCAGTACTCACACTGCCTCTCGGGCCTTTGCCTCTGAGTTGCCACCTCTAGTTTATGTCCATGAAAAGCAAGACCAACATCTCTGAGACAAGATTTTCAGCATGTCTCTCTATTCTCAAATACTGTCAAAGATTATCACCACCCAAACTCCTTCACCTGGAACAACCTAACACTCAAGGCCTTCCACCCCTCCCCCGCTGCCCCCCATTTGCTCACAAGCGCCCCAGGCTGGTGCTCTCACTGACCTATCGAACAGGTCCTCTCCCTGGGACACCCCACCCTCTCCTCAGCACCCTTCCAAGCTCCACCCTCTCTAATATGCCCTCATCTTCCTCACCCCTGACCTCTTCTGCCAGTCCTAACCCAAATGTCAGTGGTACTTCTGTCTGCCTCTCCATTTGGTTCATCTGGTCCTTACCATCAGCGACTAGTACGGGTCTCAGAGGCAAGAAGGCTGTCTTACACTTCTCTCTGGATGCTAGATCATCCTACAACAGATAACACTCAAAGAATATTTGTTGAACTGAAGATAGTTTCTTGCCTTTCAACTCTAACCTACCAAGACTTGGCATTCAAAAGACACGTAAGTCACAATGAAGGAGAACCAGAGGCTTGCAGAACTGAGGGATGTGCTAGGATTTTTGGAAAGGTACTGAGGGCTCAGGGTACGTAGAGCATGGCTTATCAACAAGAAATGTGTGAGCCAGCTGGGATCACAGCAATATCCCCGAGGGAGGCCGTTGGTCCCTACCTGCATGAGATGCCTGTGTGCATGCTCATAGGAGGGTAGCGCTCCCTCCCCAATCAGTTCTGTGTCAAACAGCTCTGTGATCAGGACGTTTGCACGGCATGGCATGTCACCATCTGCAAAACACAAGGAAAGAGGGCCAGGAGCAAACAACAGATTAGAAAAATATATCTACAGCAAATATGTGAAAGATAAAAGGTTAATGGGTCATTAAATTGAAAGCATATACATATGAAGTATTTAGAAGTGTCAACATGTCTGCAACTGACTTTCCAATGATTCAGCAAAAAAAGTATTTTTCTCTACATAGACATGTATAGATGTATACACATACATACATAGACACACATACACACAAATATGCTAACAATTGGTAAGTCTTGGTTAAGAGAATATGGGTGTTCACTGTATTACTTTCAATTTTTCTCTATGTTTCATATTGCAAAGAACTTGAAAAACACATAAGGAAAAGTATAAATACCCAAAAAGAAAACCAGGCCAAAATACTAATAGAAAATTCAAAACAGAAAATAAATCATTCAGATATATGGAGAATTTTTCATTCTTATTAGTAATTGGCAAGAGACAAACTAATAAGCTATTAACTTTTAAGTTACCAAAAATTATTTGAAAAGTAAAAACTGAGAGCTAGTACTTCAAGTATTTCTAGACTGCAGAGAGGGAGAGAAAAAGAGCGAGAGGCTGGTTAATTCCCCTGACATTCAATGGATGCTACAAGACCCAGGATCAGAACCCCCCGTTCCTTACACCAAGTCCTTCTTAATTTAGTCTTGCCACCAAACAATCCCCCAAATAACAGTTGTTTTAGGATAGTAGGATTATGGAGGGTCTTTTTGTTCACTCTATTTTCTAAAACTTGTAATGTAGTGCAATATTACTTCTACAATTATAATTTTTAATGAACCAAGAGACAAAACAGACTTTGGAAGGGGCTATTCATCATTTAAAATTAACTGTAAACACTCCTAATGGCTCATGAATTACAATTTGACAAAGCCCACTCATCTTTCCTACATAAGACAAGTATCGTGGATGAGACAAAAAAGGGGAAGCATTAGAGGTTCAGAGAAGGGTGCAGTGGAGAGCTTGAACCTTGAGGCCTAGAGGCCTGAGCCTGGATCCCACTTTCTAGCCTTGACCCTCAGTGCTGACCATCAGTCACCTCATCTGTAAAACCCAGGTGACAACATCTGCTTCATGCGGTGGTGATTAGGATAGCAAAGGCGGAAGCTGTCCACTTGCTATGAAATACACTTGTGCTCAACAGCAGGATGACGTGAAAGGAGACGGAGAAGAAACTTGTCCCCTGGCACAGAGACCAGCCTCCCAAGTGGCACTGCCCATCCTCTCAGATGTGCCAAACTCCAGCTGAAGGGCACTGTCCCAAACTGAACCACCCCCACATACCTGCTTCTCCCTCCAATGATCCTGCTTCAATAAATGGCACCACCAGCAACACAGTCTTGAAAACTGGGCATTGTTTACTAGCTCCAGGAAAGCAGGACCCTGACTGGTCCGTTTACCACTGTACCCCAGTGCCTAGAACAATGCCTAGCACCCAGTAATAGTCAGCAAACGAGCTGAATTCTTGATTCTTCCCTCTGTCATTCAACATCCAATCAATCACCAACTACCAATTCTTACCAATTCTACCTCCTGAATAATTAAACCAATTATGTAACTTAAAATGATTTACTGCCCAAATGTGTTTCAGATAAATAAAGCTCTATGACCCACTGAATTTCAACATTCTTGAGAGCCTAGTATCCGGGGCATGAGTGCTAGTGCTACAGGGTGCAGAGGGCACAGTAGGAACGTAAGGGGCAGTCACCCCAGGGGCCTCCTAAGTCTTCGCCAAATGACTGTATGCATGAATCAAGGCTGTTCCCTGAGTCAGCTGCTACACCTGCCTCCGTGTGTAAGCCTCTCCGGCCTCCCCTGAGGAATGGGCAACCTGGATGCCATTTCTGAAAAGGGCTGAGAATGAACTTTGGAAATACACATTTGGAAACACAATGAAGGCTGCAGAGGAGAAGCAAGACTGGGAGATGTCACTGAGGCCTGGGAAAAGAGAGTTTCCAGAAAGACTGTGTAGTAGAAGTCCCAAAGCTGCAGTGTTTAGAGAAAAAGCAGAGGGAAGACCATCAGCCTTGGCAATGAGGAAGCCACTTGTCAAGACGGGGGAGTAGAAACAAAGTCCCATTTACAAGGGGTTAAGGACCAAGCAAAGTTGACAATTGGCTCCCTAAACAAATATTACTGAATGTTTTTATGTGCCAGGCCCTTATACAAGTTATGAAGTGGAGTAATTAGTAAGACCACAGAGTCCATAACCTCAGGGTGCTTCAGCTATATGGAGATACAGACATTAAACACATAATTACATAACTATTTATTTTTGCACTGATAGGCACTAGAGAGCACTACTATGAAGAAAGCATATGAGGGGCCTGGCTTCACACAGGGAGTACATGCACAGCACACAGTCTGAAGGATGGCAAAGGGCAGTCACGGATGACACAGCAAAGGGCTGCACTGTGGGCTGGTCGCTGTGTGGTCAAGAGCCCCACCCATGGCCAGACAGAGTGGCGGGGATCAGACTCTCCTACCCACTGTAATCAACTAGAAAACCAGACAAAACACAGGAAATAAATATTTTCAGATGCTGAATACAAGGCAACACCGTTTATTCCCTAAAAAGAGAACAAAGTGACCCCACTACTGCTCTGGCTTTCAGCCAGCAGGTACTTTCCAGACTCCAGTACAGGGAGGGAGATGGCAAGCAGAGCACAGCAGTCTTGCTGAGGTAAGAAGACAACGTCCAAAGGTCAGGGGAGTGCAGATGGCTGGGACTTGCAGGGGAGGGAACCAGAGACGCAGTTACACAAAAAGAGGCTTCAGAAATCTGCACAGGACTCCCCTAGAGTCCCCTGTGAATACACACACACACACACACACACAGGACTCCCCTAGAGTCCCCTGTGAATACACACACAAACATACACACACACACACACACACACACACACACACACAGGACTCCGAGTCCCCTGTGAACACGAACACACACACACACACACACACACACACACACACAGGTTAAGACTCCAGAAGGCTTGGCAAAGGATGAATAATTTCATAGCTGTGAGTGGACTGATTCCCAGAGTTCACAGAGGATTGGGAAACATTCTAGATCTGATCAGCCAGAACCCAGGCAGGCACTCTCAGGAGAGACTCCAGAAAGGTCTCTGTATACAAGTATGGCTAAAGTAGCCTTAGAACAGTGTGGTTCTCAACAAGGGGCCATTTTGCTCTACCCGCAATCCAGGACATTTGACAATGTCTGGAGACATTTTTGATTTGCACAAATGGTGGGAGGAGGGAGATGCTACTGGCTTCTACTGGATAGAGGCCAGGGTAAACCCCCTACAATGCACAGGGCAGCTCCCCCAACAAAGAATTATCAGGTCCAGTATGTCAACAGCACCATGGTTGAGAAACCATGGCTTAAATCTACTCTAACCCTGCTCCAACACAGCTTAAAAACAAACCTGGAAGGATGAAATCGATCTGCAAGTAATCCAGGTACATGCCAGACAATATTTTTAAAGGAAGACAACAAAATCCAGCACTCAGCAGTGCAAATCCCCAATATACAAAGCATCCAAATACAACTTACTAGGCATGAGAAGAAGTGTGACTCAAAACCAGGATAAAAATTGGTCAACAGAAAAACCCACAAAAGCCAGAGACAGTGGAAATAGAAAATACAGATGATAAAACAGCTAATATAAATATGTAAACTATTCAAAGGAACACATGAATATATAAGAACAATGGAAGTTATAAAAAACTATCAAAGGGAACTTTTAGAGACGAAAAATACAATTATCAGAAATGGAAAGTTCACTAGATGTACTTGACAGCAGGTGAGACACCACAAAAGATCAGTGAACCTAAAGACCTCTCTGGAAAACTACCTATGTCTATCAACAGATGAAGGAACGAACACAGGATGTACAACACGGAGTGCTGCTCAGCAACAGAAGAGAATGAACTTTTGATACACAGAACAACGGACGAAACTCAAAAGCATTATGTTATGGAAAAGAAAGCAGGCACAAAAAGTACATGCTGTATGATTTCACTTACTCAAAATTCTAGAAAAGGCAAATCTAACCTATTTTGAAGAAAGATCAGTAGGTGCCAAGGGTCAGGGATATGGGTTATTGACCGTAAAGGGTCATGAGGAATCTCTGGGCACGATGGTGATATTCTATCAATTGTAGAAGTAGATACAAGTACAAGTGTGTTTACATATGTCAAAACTCATCAAATTTGTACACTTAAAATGGGTTCATTCATCTTATGTAAATTATACCTCAATAATGTTGATTAAAAATGGGATGATTTGTGATTGCCCTTATTTGTGGAGTATAACAATGAAGCATAACTGAAGGAACAAAACAGCAGCAGACTCACAAATTCCAAGAAGGGACTAGCGGTTACCAAAGGGAGGGTGGGGGAGGGAGAAGGGAATTGTGGAGTATCATGATTAGTGCACATGGTGTGTGTGGGGTCATGGGGAAGACAGTGTAGCACAGAGAAGACAAGTAGGGACTCTGTGGCATCTTACTACACTGATGGACAGTGACTGCAATGGGGTATTGGGGGGCTACTCGACAGTAAGGGTGAATGTAGTGATGACATTGTTTTGTGAAACTTTCATAAGAGTGTGTATCAATGATACCTTAATAAAAAAAATTTTTTTAATGGGATGATTTGTGCACTCTTTTATATGTATAGTATTATTAAAATTTTTAAAAAAGGCACTAAATGGAGTCACTTACGCTAAGCCCAGTCACCAAACCAAGACTTAAAACCAAGACTTAACCCTGCAGTTTTGATAGAACCCTTCCATCCCCCAAACAAACAGAGAGTAATTGGATCTTCCCTTGTCTCTGCCCCCTTCTGCCTATAAGTCTCCCATTTTATTCAGTTCTTCAGAGCTCCCTTCTATTTACTAGATGGGAAGCTGCCCAATTCATGAACTGTTGAATAAAGCCAATTTTATCTTTAAATAACTCAGAATTTTTTTAATAGTACATTTTAAAAATAAAAAAAAGGGACACTAATTCCTTTTGTTCAAATTTCAGATTCTCCTAAAAAAATGTGAGAAAAACGTTGATCTTACATAGATGGTTCATTCTAAAACACTGCCTTTTTAAAACCTGTGGTGGTGACCATAACCTCCCCACAAGCTACATTTGTGCTCCACTGTGCTCTCTAGGTATCAGTGGCATGTGAACTTCCAGAAGTCTGATTCAAACCCCTAGACTATAAAAAATATTCTGAAAACCTGGAAAAATTGTGCAGTATAGGCAAATCTCTCATGTGGGATGCTGGGCAGGGTGTCAGAACTAAGCAAATCTTATCTACTATCTATTGTCTAGGGCTATCTGCTATCTACTAACAATAGGTATCTCTGCTGTCTACTGTCTAGCAGTGAGACTAATTGCACAGTGTTAGTTTCACTTCAGTCTGATAAGACTCAACACTCAGAGAGCTGAGCCACACAAGAACTCCAACTTGCTTAAGGCAAAAGGAGCTTTCATTTCCATTCACTGCTGTTGCACTCAATTAGCTCTGGTTTATTCATTGCTGTGTGTTAACCAGTAGAGAAAATAGTAGAGAAGCAAAGTGCTTGTTCTCAGATCACTACACAGAAAGGCCTCATTTCTCGGCAATTACCTGGATACACTTATTCCAGGTAACTGGAGTGGTGTACTTGACAACTTATTCTAGGTAACTGGAATAAGTAAGCCCTTTCCTCTCTTCCACAAGAGCACGTAAAGCTTCTGACACAAGGTGTGTCAATCTTACCTGGCCCTATGGTCACCTCAGTGGAATGCTTGTTGATAACCTTAATCTTATCACTGAAGCCATTTTTCTCCACAATCTTTACAGCAGCATCAGCCATAGGCTTGAAAACCTAGAAATCAGAGCCAAAACACACGTAAAAATGAGCAATAAATAACAATCTAAACCCAAGATTAGCAAGATATGCCTTAGTCCTAAGATTTGAGAAGAGGCAGCCACGACAGCATTTCTTCTTGAATAGACCAAAGGTACCTGTGTTACCGTTTGATGGAGATAAATTATTTCTTTGGGCTAATTTGATCTGAATAAACAAGACTGCATTTATGTAACTTAAACACTTACTCTCCAAATGTGTGTCATGAAAATGAATACAATAGGAAGAGATTCCACTGGGTTTAACTTGCAGCTAGGAGTTCCCACAAACCAGGAAACACCCCTCCCGGTGCTGTCCCAAGGAGGTTGCACTACTTAGTAAAGACGGTAGGTGTCACTGCCACACTAGAGGGAATCACAAAAGGGACTTGCCTCACAAAAACAGGACCTGGGACAAGATTTGCGCTGTTCTCTCTAGAAGAAAGGGAGACCATTACTGTGTAAAGAGATTAAGTGTGAGCAGGTCACCCTCCTGCTCAAAGCTGTCCCACATCTCCAGAGCTGGCAGAACACAGCCTGTATGTACTTCCCCCAGCTTCCCCCAGCCTTACTCCCCTCCTGCCCCATCCCCACACACATGCTCCAGCCACACTGATCTCACTGTGCTCTAGGCGAGCCTGAGCCTTCCCTGCCCTACCTCCACCTGCTACAGCAAACCCTACTGAGACAGGGGCTGCGGGTGCAGTCAGAGTAGGGTGAGGGCCTCCGGAAAAAGCAGGGCAGGATAGTTACAGTCAGAGCAATGTAACTACATGCAAGGAAACCCCCTACCAAAACTCTGTTAAACATTAAGCTCTAGAGTCATTCTTCAGTGAGATCAATTAATATTCCCCAGATAAAGAAGAGAAGAAGAAGCCAAGATGGCGGCATGAGTAGGGCAGTGGAAATCTCCTCCCAAAACCATATATATTTTTGAAAATACAACAAATATTACTATGCCTAAAAGAGAGACCAGAAGATACAGTACAACAGCCAGGCTACATCTACATCTGTGAGAACTCAGCACCTCACGAAGGGGGTAAGATACAAGCTGCAGCCTGGCGGGACACCAGCAGGAGGAAAGGACTCGGAGTGGGGAGGGAGTGGGAGCCCAGGACTGCTAAATATCCAGCCCTAGGCATCCGCACCGGGAGCGCAGACACACAGTGCGTGGTGTGCTGGATATTAGGGAAACAGAACAGTAAAATCTGCGAGTGGGTCCCTGCAGCTGGCACCCCTGGGACAAAAGAAAAGAAAAGCGGTGTTTTTTGGAAGCGTCCCGGCACACTCAGCCCAGCAGCTGAGAATCCTGGGGAACTCTGGGCACCCTAACCCTCTGGGAGGCAGCGCAGCTCTGAGGCCCCTCATGGCAATAAACAGCCTCCCATCCATTCCCCTTCCGGTGCGGCCCCACCATAGCAGCGGAGCAGCCTGAGAGCGGCCGTGCCCACAGCAACTGCCCACAGCCTCCTCCGCAGCCACCTGGGCCAGACTCAGCAGCCCCATCGGCCTGCAGCTGCCTAGCACAAGCCACTAGGGGTTGCCGTTCTCAGAGGATAGGAAGGCAACCAGCAAGTAAGAAGGGACTTTGTTCTCCTACCTTATACACGCACCGACTGCCCACAACTACCTCTACCGCCATGAAAAGGCAGAAGAATATGATCCAGTCCAGAATTACCCAGACAACCCACAAGAAGGAGCCTGGGGAGATAGATTTAACCATTATTCCTGAAAAAGAATTCAAAATAAAGGTCATAACCATGCTGATGGAACTGCAGAGAAACATGCATGAGCTAATGGATAAAGTTGGGAGGGAGAATACAGAAATAAAACAATCTCTGGAAGGACTTAAGAGAAGACTGGAAGACGTGCAAGAAGCCGTTAATGGAATAGAAATCAGAGAACAGGAACACAGAGAACCTGAAGCAGAGAGAGATAAAAGGATCTCCAGGAATGAAACAATATTAAGACAACTGTGTGACCAATTCAAATGGAACAATCTCTGCATTATAGGGTACCAGAAGAAGAGAGAGAAAAAGGGATAGAAAGTATATTTGAAGAAATAATTGCTCAAAACTTCCCCAAACTGGGGGAGGAAATAGTCTCTCAGACCACGGAAGCCCACAGAACTCCCAACACAAAGAACCCAAGGACAATACCAAGACATATAATAATTAAAATGGCCAAGATCAAAGACAAGCACAGAGTATTAAAGGCAGCCAGAGAGAGGAAAAAGGTCACCTACAAAGGAAAACCCATCAGGCTATCATCAGACTTCTCAACAGAAACCTTACAGGCCAGAAGAGAATGGCATGATATATTTAATGCAATGAAACAGAAGGGCCTTGACCAAGGATACTGTATCCAGCACGATTATCATTTAAATATGAAGGAGGGATTAAAAAATTCCCAGACAAGCAAAAGTTAAAGGAATTTGCCTCCCACAAACCACCTCTACAGGGTATTTTAGAAGGACTGCTCTAGATGGAAGCACTCCTAAGACTAAATAGATGTCATCAGAGAAAATAAAATCACAGCAAAGAAAGCAGACCAACCAAATACTAACTAAAGGCAAAAAATAAAATCAGCTACTCACAAAAGCTGTCAAAAGAAACACAAAAGAGCACAGAATAAAACACCTAACATATAAAGAATGGAGGAGGAGGAATAAGAAGGGAGAGAAACAAAGAATCATCAGACTGTGTTTATAATAGCTCAATAAGTGAGTTAAGTTAGACAGTTAGATAGTAAAGAAGCTAACCTTGAATCTTTGATAACCATGAATCTAAAGCCTGCAATGGCAGTAAGTACATATCTTTCAATAATCACCCTAAATATAAATGGACTGAACGCACCAATCAAAAGACACAGAGTAATAGAATGGATAAAAAAGCAAGACCCATATATATGCTGCTTACAAGAGACGAACCTCAAACCCAAAGACATGCACAGACTAAAAGTCAAGGGATGGAAAAAGATATTTCATGCAAACAATGGGGAGAAAAGAGCAGGTGTTGCAGTACTAGTATCAGACAAATTAGACTTCAAAACAAAGAAAGTGACAAGAGATAAAGAAGGACATTACATAATGATAAAGGGCTTAGTTCAACAAGAGGATATAACCATTATAAATATATATATATATATATATA